GCAAAATTTCAAAATTAAGATATTTCTGGTAATATCGGAAAAGATAAAGAAGAATTACGTACTTACTTAAGTCATTTACGAAGTTTTCATTTTTTTGTTACTTAATTTTTTATTTACATATATGTATTTGAGTTCATTCGAAACGCAATTTATATACAGATATTTCATTTAATTAATATATTCGTACATGCAAGAAATATTTATGAATAATTTTTAACAAATTTATATAAATTATTTACCTGTTAATTGTAAAAGCATTCGCTGATTCGTCATCTATGTCCTAGACATAAGTAAGATGGCCGATGTGGTAGTGCAACAAAATTTTATTCACATCGCTGCCAAAATGCATGGACACAGACATAAATTATAATTTAGACGTATTTAAAACTAAATATTAATAAATTTTCGATATGGTGACATATTCAGAGACGACAAAAGTGGGCCACGAAATGTCGTTTTAGCTAAGACTGAATTATTAATAGTTAAAAATAATTAATTCCTTTGTAGCTGCTATGCTGGCTTACAACCAAATATCTTGAGTTCATCAGAAATGGACATGAAAAAAAAGCTTAACCCCTTCGCGCCGACTGTCACGTATACGTGCACAACGAACACATTAAGCTACGGCCGACACGCAGGGCGTGCCAGAGCCTGTTGCCTTATTCCCCACGACGTCACGTATTTTGTCAGTACCTGAACGTTTTTTACAAACTAATTTCTGCCAAAGACGGCACTTTATGTCATATGGTTTCAGATACAGGCATTAACCATTCTACTCGAAAATGAGAGAGCATTACTCAATACACGTGTTTTGGATCTAATAACAACGGGGAACTAAATGTTCCTAATGGTGATTGATGAAGTCTCTTAAATCGCCTTTATCGCACGGGTATTGTTTTGTAGTAGAAGTTTTATATGCGCTAACAAGCGTTGGGTTTTTTGTTTACAGTTCGTTTTTTAGAAAATAATCGATCTTGTTAGACGTGAATTCTTTTGTTTTTACCGTTTCAATGTCGGCGCGTCGAAAATATAAACAGAGCATGAAATAGAATGAAATAAATAAAATAAAATGTTGTAAAATATGCATAGTATTTTAAAAAGAAATAAGGTAATTAAGTATATATATAAAAATATCTATGAAAGCATAAGCCGTTAAATACTCTATGAGCTTTAACAAGCGTGATACTCGGAAATTCATGGATTAGGAGTTAGTAGCAAAAAAGCCCCGGCCTGAGAGAAGCTTCGCAGAAGCACGGACGGCCTCCGCAATAAGGCGCGTTTTCGCTACCCGGCTCGAGGGTTAAGCCAGAGAATTCGTTCTAAATATCTTGCCTACGTATGGAATGGAAGGAAACTTGGATCTTTATACTAAATATAAGAAATGATTTTTGATGAAATTAGTCAAAGTGGCGTTTTTTTTAAAACTTTTTTGTTTTAACTTTATTTTATTAAACCAATTTCTTTTCTTAAAAGAAAATTTTTTCAAGAGCAATATCGCAAAATAATTTTAAATTGAGCATATGTATCGATACTCTTAGTAGATGAAATGATCCAACTCTCCATTGCTGCTTGAAATCCTGAGTTTGTTAATCAAATTCCTTAAAGTTTAACAAATATGAAATCTAAATAAACAAATCCCATTTCAATTTGGTTTCCAGATGCCCATATTCGCAGTAGATTAGTCCTTCAATTGGATGCTCTAGGTACCGTTGTTGTATCACAATGCGAGAAACATGCATACAATTATGCAGATTTTTCATTATTTAATTTCTTCAAACATAACACCGGGCGGTAATATTTTGTGGCAACAGTTGGAAAAGGGAAACGAATCATTCAGAGTGCTTCGACGCAAAAAATGAAAACAATAGCCCCTCAGAGATAAAGCCCCTTTGGACTAAGAATGTAATATGTGGCCTGTCACTTATAATTATTTATTTATTTCTTAGATGACAGTTCTAAACTTATTTATTGTTTTAATTGTTTTTCTCCGCATTTGATCGCAATTTCGAATTTAAAAACAGCGTTTTAGTAGTGCCATCTAAGAAATGAGTAACTAAATAAAAGGCTTAGATAATAAATCTAAGCTTTTATATGAATAGTTAGTAGTTAGTTACATATCATATCATATTATATAAGTACTAACTATTCATATAAAAGATTAGATTTTATTTTTCCAGAAGCTACCTTGCTTTCAGTTTCAGATTTCTCCAGCTTAATCAAATTTATCTAAAAAAGGTTGATTTAATTCAATAGCGTAGAATTCTTTGATTTTCTGTGAAGAGGAGGAGAGTTTTATTCCCGTATTTAAATTATTTTAAGTTCTTTCATTTTTTTTCCATTTAAGATCATTTAGATCTTACTTTGTTTCCAAGAAACATTCTTTAGTTGTTAATATAAAGACTGCTTATCTCTGACATATTTTCTTTTTTAACCTTCGTCCGATAGTCTGCATAGTCATAAAAAGTAGCGTAGGATGTCCTCCCACGCTCTGCTCTTAATCCATTTGATTAACTCCTGACGTGAAGAAATAAATTTCATAACAGCACCTTTGCTGAAAAATAATATCTCAGAAAGTATTTTACATTAAGTGTTTTTGTTCCTGTTCAGTGTTTGAGTAAAATAATTTCGAAGACTTATAGCGATAAAAATAAAATTTCTTTTAGGAAAATCTCTCCTTAAATACCAAAGTAGCGAATGAGACAATAAACACACTGTGTATGTTTAAAATCTTCTCATTAATAATTTTATATTGGAATTGACTATTGAAACGAAGCGTCGTAGCCAGCTCGTTTGCAGCTAGATCTTTAAATTGGATTTTTAATTGTAATTATTTGATATTATTTTCTTACATGGATGCATAGAATAATTTCAATATGATGTGCCAAAACCAAAGATTAAGTATTGTTGCGTGCGTGCGGGTTCGTAATAAATTGAATGTACAAATACGATGAAAAGTGAATAAAATTTATTCTTATCACAACAACGAAAACAAAATCCTTACATTTCCTCAGAGATATTCGTACAATATCGCAGCATCTCACAGTAGTTATCTTTTAAACTACTAAGACGTTCAACAGAACGTAATTCAAAACAGAGAAAGCTAATCGGATTTCATCGCGAATTTGCTACAGTAAACAACAACAGTTTTCCAAACAACAACTGAACTGAGATAATTTCCTCCAGTTTTTATAAGCTTTTTAAACAGGCACGAGAAACTTCTCGTATTTTCTCGAGTTTTCTGTATTAAAAGAGTACAGCTACGAGATATCTATTTATTATGTGCGCGTGCTCCTGTATTTTTAATTTTTCCAGCGTAGCTTTGTCTTCAAATAATTCTCGTGCCGCATTGCACTGTAATGTTAAACAATTTTAATTAATTATATTTAAAAATAGCAAAATCAATACAAAAACCGTAACAGTGTTTCGGAGTGCCTATGGTTCTAAGTCAATATGATGTGGTGATGAATGCTGTCTAAGGATAATCAGCCGATTCAAAATCACTGGATGATTGGAATTAGATTTGCTCGTTTATTGAATGAGCTAATATTGTAGCTAAGAAACAAGACAGTGGGCATTAAGCGTTACGCAGTCTTTTCTTTGGTAGCATCAAATGTACGACACTTCTAAGAAATGAATGATCACTATGTGTTGTAAAATATCACAGACACTAAGAAAGGATGTAATGGACTTTTTTATATAACTGAAAGTTAACAGAAGGAACCGCTCGAGATTACAGAATAGCCAGCATTTATGTCTTAAATTAAAGGTAATGAGTTTGACTTAGCTAAGTAATTGTAAGTTAGCCCAACGGATATTCAGATAGAGAAACAGGCAAGTTGACTCTAATCTAAAGTCAACGTGACAAGCCTACAGTCGAGAATAACGCAACGCCGCAGGACACACGTCCCCAAAGAATCAAATTATTCACGTGGCTTTCAGCGGCCGGAACACGCTCTGATTCTACCCTTTAAAACATTTTTTTTTAATACTGTCTGCTTTCTACTTCATTTGAATACATGCGAGTTAGAAACTTACATTCTGGCAGAAAAACGTTAAAGAAGAAGGAGAGAAAAACACATTAACATAAAATAACTAATTAGTGAAACTAAACGAAACCTTCTACTTCAAAAATGAAAGAACTGAGAAAGTTTTAGTTTCTTTTCTCATCCTGTGGGTACAGCAGAAGGCCGTATAAATTCTCAAATGGTTAAAATTTGTTAAAGAACTATGATTCTTTTATAATTGTCTTTAATTTTGTCTTTAAGGCTTATCGTCACATTTGCCTTTTTACGTTAAACTGAGAAATGTTTTTAAAAAACGTACTCACAGTTTTGTCTAATTTTTCAATGATATTTATCATGTAAACAAATTCCTGTTTCTGACTTACCTCTTATGAAAACTGGTAATAAAATGAATAGGAATATTGAGTAAAACTACATATTTTACGAAATAGCTACCGATAAATATTGGGTGGTAACAGTGAGCAAGAGTAATAACTTAAGAGGCTTGTATATAAAATTTGAAATGTTCTGTTAAAGCAGAAGTTCAGGTCATCACGACCACAACATCACGGGTATAAATTTCGAAATGACAAAAGCCAAAAGATAAATTTGGCTTTTGAATTTAACTTTTATAATATTTTAAAATTCATTACAATTATTTTACTACTAATTTTAAATGCCATCAAATTTCAAGGTCAGAAATTTTCTTATATGTTTGTTTTCCTTTTTGTTAATTGTTTTAATCCTGAATATTCAAACAACGTTCAATAGGGGATATTATTATTCAAATATAACTGCCAATATATCCACGAGAGAATATACTTACGAAAATGCCAGTCATTGAAATACACAGATGCAGAGATAAGCTATTTTTCTAAATAATATAACACAGTTTACTGTCCATCCCGTTCTTAAAAAATCTTACATGTTTTTACTATTTTGTAGGGAAAAGGATTTAAATTTCTGTCGTTATAAAAACAACTTCTTATATCAAAGATTTTACTTACATTGGACCAACAGATTCAATATATTACTTTGTCCTTCGCCAACCGTGTTTCTGGCAATACACTGGTATCTGCCACGATGTTCTTTCCGGACCTTGCGCAGAAGCAGAGTTTGATTCATGATGAAAATACCCATTTCCCTACTTTCTTGGAGTGGTCTGCCTTCGAATATCCAATAAAGTTTCAAATACCAAGGATTGGCTTTTGTATGGCACTCTAAGTAAACATCCTTTCCTTCTCTGATCTCTGACAGTCTACTACTGCGTCCAATAGTCAGGTTGAGTATAGGAATAACTGAAATTCAAAGTAATATGGCATTAAAAACAAACAATGGGAACAGTAGAAACAAATAATTTCATAATACAGGACTACACTAAATGATTACCCAGATTTCAGTGCTGTTTTTATTTTACTTTATTTATTTTTTAAGTATTGCACATAAAATAATAACTGGTAAAAAATCAACCCAGAACGGTACAAATGTTCGATTGTATATTCAACAGGGCACAAGAGAGACATTCGAGCGGTATCCAGTTTCCTTCATACCTTTTGTAGTGCGTTTCCTCCTGATTTAACACAGTATTATTTCGTACCTTAGGGGGTATATTAATGATTGCTTTCGTAGATACTTTCTCTACCAACTATACTTGCAGAACTTGAATTGCATCAATGCTGCTGTGATTACCACTGACAAGGGAATACATCAAAAGTTATATACCGAACCCGAGTATACTTGGATGTGCGTTATGTTGCCAGTGGGGAACATAAAAGAACGTAGTGAACATAAATACGTAGTGAAAGAGAAAAAATTGGCACATTTATGTCTATTTTACTGTATTAATAGCTATTGCTGCAATTATAGTTTTGTGAAATTACAGTGTTTTCAAATCCAGTGAATGAGCTATAGTAGCCCTATAATAAAGTAGCCGAAGATAGCAGAATTGTTACGAGATTACCATTTTTATTATTCATTTTTGACATCTTCATTTAGTTATTATTAAAAAATAATAATATAATTTTCCACGAATTAATTTTGAATTTGAATTTCGATTTTTGATTTAACGAAAGCAAATTATGGTAAATCCGTCTTGCGCTTCCTTTGTCTAAAATTTGTAAATTTCTTTAATCACAAGCATTCGATGCATTGAAATTATTTGGGCTTTTAATGCTTGAAGAATAATGGGATACTTTTAATAAACAGGCTTTTTTTCATGCAGAAAAAAATGACAAGAGTAAACAGAAGAAGTATTTTATATTTTATATGATAAACTCATATAAAATATAAAATACTTCTTCTGTTATGAAACCTTATTTGAACTTTAGAATAAATTAATTTTTATTACTTTAAAGTTGTTTTAAGGTGTATTAATAATTTATCATCCTAATAAGAAGACTTAGAATCAACATGCGTTTGCGAATATTGTGAAATAAAACGCAGGCAACTATATTCAAGCTGTTCCAAATGTGAGAAAATATTTATTTTAAAGAAGTAAAAATGCTATTAAAATGTTCTTTCACTAAGCTGAGAAAATATGTAACATAGACGAGTTACAGCACATCTTTGTGTAAACTGGCTAAAAGTATGCATTTCAAAATAAGGAAACAGAAAAATAAACCCCAGAGCTCAATATTTAAAAGTAAACTATAATAAGGGTTTAATGTTTTTCCTCATACTTTTAATACACTTACGGCAGTATTTAATAATAAATAAACTCATGTAAAATAAATACTAAAAACACGTTGTTTCTTTAGTTTTGACTAATCTCACTTGTCTGACTTCAGCAACAGAAGAAAGCCCACGAAATTTATAATAGAAAGGAGTACAGGATTACGTCTGTCGTTGGCAAGGGCCTTAAGCACCGTATAGGTTAGATTACGATTTTTGCATAGTTCCACCCCAATTTTGAGAAAGAACACCTCGAGCGATGCTTCCAAGGGTGTCCCACCCCTCTTTCCCTACCACAAAACCAGACGTGAGGACCTCGGCTCATTATACAGGGTGATCAGCAAATAAGCCCTGATTTCAAAATTAAATATCTCTACAACAAAGGTCGATAGAATTATGCGGTAAACTGTACGTTTATTAGCAAAACTGTAAAAATGGTGTACAAAAGTTTAAAAAAAATTAGTTATAAAAATAGTTAACAGATGGCGCTCTAATCGCAATGACCTATCAATAGCCTTTAAAATGTGCTTCGAAGTCGAAAGTGATCAGTACAACTTTTGGCTAGTGAAAAGAGGCTAGCGCAGGAAGTGAAATAATGTATTCCATTGAACAACGTGTATTTTGGTTCTGGAATTTCACCAATTAGAACATAGACCTACGGCAACACGTCGCAGTTTTCAAAACCGATTCAATGTTCCAGTTGGACCCGATGCGAAAACCATTCGCATGCTCTTCGCGACATTCGAATGGACTGGCAGCGTGGCTGATGATCGAAAGAAAAATGTTAGGCCTAAGCAAACTATAATCACTCCTGAAAATGCAGCCAAAATTTCTGGATTTGTTCAGCAAAATCCTAGATCCGACGGATTGCATCAGAGACAGGTTTGAAGTACACGAGCACACAAAAAATATTTAAAAATAGCCTATGGCTGTTTCCATACAAAATCCAAAGTCATCAGGCCATACCCATGAAAGCTGTGCAACGAAGGGTTGACTTTGCGAATCAGATTCTAATAATGATCGAAAACGACAGATTTGATGTGAGCTGGTTCACAGAGGAGGCACATTTTCATTTGAATGGAATCGTTAATAAAGAAAACTGGAGATTTTGGGATACCGAAAGTCCTCATTTGTATGAAGGAAAAGCACTGCATTTGCCTAAAGTCATGGCATGGGCTGCGGTATGCGCCATTATCGGACCCTTTTTCGTACGAGAAACGATAACTACTGAACATTACGTTACAATTTTAGAACAATTTGTCAGCACTCAACTAGCGTTGGATGATCGACCAGGTATCGACTGGTTCCTGCAAGATGGGGCTCGACCACATCGAACAAATAAAGTTTTTCACTTTTTTCATGAATACTTTGGGAATAGAGTAATTACGTTAGATTATCCTCAATTTACTGACACAGGAATAGCTTGGCCTCCATATTCTCCCGATCTGAGTCCTTGTGACTTCTTTCTGGGGCACATTGAAAGACGCTGTCTATCGGAACAATCCTGCTACTCTAGATGAGATTGAATCGTTGATTGGTGTTGCAAGTGATTCCATTTCCGTCGAGACATTGTAAGACGTGACGTCAAATTTCATTGTTCGTTTACGCCACCTCATTGGTTCGAACGGTGAACATTTTAAAAAAATTGTATTTTGATTGAAAAAAGCCTGCTTCACTTTATTTTTTTAATTAATTTTTTTGACTCCTTTCAGAGAAAGAGTTTTCGGTGCAGAGCGCCATCTGTTAACGATTTTTGTAACTAAATTTTCTAAACTTTTATACACTATTTTTACAGTTTTGTTAATAAATATACACTTCATCGCATAATTCTATCGATTTTTTTTGTAGAGATATTTAATTTTGAAATCAGGGCTTATTCGCTGATCACCCTGTATATTTAAAATGCTCCGATCCTGCAAAGATACTATTCATTAACAAACATCCATGACCTCTTCGGGATTCGCAACATAATGTGTGTGCGCAATGATACTATTCATTGTGCAGCAACATAATGCGTGTGTGCAATGGTACTATTCATTGTGCAGTAACATAATATGTGCGCACAATGATACTATGCATTGTGCAGGAACATAATGCGTGTGCTCCAAGATACTATTGTCATAATCAATGGTTGGTTTGGTTTATTTGAGTTTGAGCAAGCGTGCTAGGGCTATCTGTCTAAAGGAAAGGAATCATTCGTGAAGGAGTTTCTATGAAATACTGTCTTATAGCCATGTTATACCTACGAAAAACCACGAAAACGTCAGTGCATGCAACCTGTTTTCCTGAATTCGAATCCAGGTCGAATTACCAGAAATCAGTGGCTTTAACGCTCGGCGGTTCGTGAACACAACTGTTCACTGGAGATGGTTAGCATTAGCGGCGAAGTAATTTTGGCTTGAATATCAGGCAAATGATAAATGTTCATAATCATCGTATCTACATAGAATCGTTTATGAATAAAATATGTAAGTTAAGGGGAAAAATAATTAGCAATAGTACAAAGCATAATGGGCTCGAATTATGGGTAAGTTTTTGCTAGTCATATTTACGCAAAACATGAGTACTGTAAAATCAGCAATTTCAGAAATTTTTCATTTAAGTCTAAAACTTTCGAAAAAGTGTCTGCCGGGTGTCTTTGAATAAAACTGGAATTACATGCATTTTTAATTCTCCCTGTAGCCACTTAAACTCTATTTAATTCTGATTATTCCGTTAATTTTGATCGATTGTTACTTCAACTACGCAGTTTTTCGCTATTATTTCAGAGAAGCTGGTCCCGTTCTACGTGAGCAATATTAATTTTTAACCTTGTAAATTCATTAAATTTATTTATCCCAGAGTGGTTGGATATTTTACATGATCTAGCACAGCTTTTGCCAATCTCTTGTACTCCCATCCATGGCTACCCCCCAAAAAAATCACTAGTAATGGCGGAAGACAGCAAAATGTTATAATAAATGCTGATAAGAAAGCAATACGTGCAGTAAGTTTACATCGCTGTCTAGGGATTTATATTTATTTTAACTAATAATTTAAAGTTTTATTTGTAACTTTAATATAAGCGTTCATTTCCCTAATTGTCAGTGCCAGAATAGTTAAATGTTGTAGCGCGCGTGAACGAATGCAAATTTTCTATTTCGAAGGAAGTTGTTAAAAGCAGAGTTTCGGTAGAAGAAAGGGAGAATTAGGATATAGCTGCTGTCTCTGCCGTAGGTACGTTTGCTGATTCAAGTGGCTTAATTGCATTGCTTTGCTGCCACTAGCTTAGAAGGGGGTTGAAGTTACGGAATCTCGCTGAGCCCTGTAGGCTAGTTTTATCACTTGTTAATATTTCAACTTTTAGTTTCAATTATCTGACTTTCAAATACCACCCAAGTAGAGGCGAAGTTTGCTAGCGTCGAGTCGACGCATTGTAAATTTTAAAGAGTTAATAAAGGGTACTTGATCCCTTGTCTTGGGTAGTTTACTGCTACTCCAGTGTACAGGCAGAAGTTCATTCACTGGACTCTACAAATGGATAAAAAGGATAGCAACAGCCGAGATTTTCCATGCCTGTCATTCATTAAAAAGTGTTAAAAAGAATGAAATTAGTTACGGCTAGTTCTGCCCTCCCAATCATATTTCT